CTCATCACATTTGCCAAATACATGCGTTAAATGTTGCATACGAACCAATTCACTATTATTGGAATTCCTGTGTATTGGTGGTCATGTTTATGCTGTTATTACTTCTCATAATAGCTACTAAAATACTAAGCAAATGGGTCACATTGTGTAAATAAGAGGTGAATGGCCAAGTAGATTTGTTGTAGGCTTTGCTTCTTTATAGGATACAAAGAAATTGAACATGACTTTTAAAATAAGTAGTAAAAGTATACTTTAGAGAACTATAATTGACATAAAAACCTTTAATTAAACACAAGACAACGACAAGTGTTTAGATTAGATGGAGCTTAATTTCATAAGAAAATCATGATTATAATAAGTTTGTAACAAAACTTTACAGCGGCTATATCAATTTAAACTTTCCAAAGCAAAAGTACCTACTTGACAATATTTGTTTTAAGTTGCCCCACTGATCGCAATCAAGTCAAAACGTTGACCTAACTAACTTTCTTGTTCTCATATTTTTACTATTTTGTCTTGAATAATTTAATTAATGATCAACTCAATGTTTATGATATGTGAAACCTTACTGGAATCATTGGCACTGCACATAATCGATTATTTTGTATTAATTATTGTTTATATTTGTTTAGTAACGTTTAGACCTTACATTTACATTTAGTTTACTCAAGTTAGGTGCAAATAGAAATACAAATTTTTTGTTTGCGTTGTTGCAAAAATAGCGCTAGTCCGCCGCCTATTTAGCCAGCAAGACATCATGCAAAAGAGCCTTAAAACTATGAGGGACAAATATGGAATGCTAATTAGTTGAGTGCATTTGAATCGCAGTGTCACTGATGAGTTCCTGCCAACAGCTGGTTGTATGATGGTAAGTATACTACAAATAAAAAAAACAATTAAATTTAACAATTTGGTATAATGTTACGAGGTGATAGAAAGTATTTCTACTATATCAAAGATCGGGTTATATCATGACAGTCATTACTAAAAAAAAGTCGGCAACATAAGTCATACTTACTATAAAAAAGAAGAAATTTCTATAATACTTCGAAAGGTGCATAAGAACCAGGGAAGTAAACACCCAATGCCTCTAAAATATTAATGTAATTTTCTTGTACGGCTAATTTCACATTTGAGAAAGTTTTCACTCGTATAAGAAGCGATCCCGGTCAGGGTGGTTCGGGCGGGCGGCCCTCAATCACAGGAAGTGCGCCATCTCATTGCGGAAGTGGTTTCTGTTGTCTCCTCTCTCGCTCGCACTCCGCTTGTTTTGTGTTTTGTAAACTTGTGCCTTTAATGGACATGTGCGTCTGCTTGATATGCCTCGATCGAATGCATTTCGCTTGATGGAAACATGGATGGAGAGTGGCGTATTTTTGACAACTGCCAAAGGATTAGTTGTAGTGACTCAATTATTTAGTACTGTTTATTAATTCATTTATTTAGGTACATCTACATACATTAAAAGATACAGTCTCGTGGTTTAATTTAATTGATATCTATTTTTTTTATTAAATCTTAGTGTTTCGGTTAGGGTTTGTATTTATTAATAATAATATGTTGGCCTGAATTTTCCTACAAACCCTTTGCCCCCCCCCCCCCCCTCTCACTAATGAATAAAGCTATATAAAGTTAAATAAAAGTTTTAGGAGAATAATTGTATAATTAAACTAATTTGTCAACACAATTATTTATTGCGAAAAAAATTATTGATTCTTACCAACTTACAAATTTCAAACAACTGCAAAAAAAGTTGAAGCTAGATTTCTATTACCCACTAACCGCGTAACGTGTTGACTAACAAAACGGGTTGTCTTGATTAATTCTTATCACGGGACTTGAGACCCGTTCGCGATCCAGTTTTCCACGACCGATATACATAGTAGTCCTACTGGCCTTTATGTTCACTTTATTTTCTGGCTCACTGAAGTACTAACACTAAACTAGACTTCTTAGTATACGTGTTGAATGCATTTCGTTCCTTGGGCTAAACTCTTCAGTTGATGAATAGTGAAGATGATTTCGTTAAAATATTACCTGATCTTAGTTACTTATAGGTCAAACAGATCGCACGCAATAGAGAGGAGGAGTGGCGATTGCTCCACCGACAAGGGTTGGGCTCTTAAACTGAGAGAGAGATTAGTTAAAGAGAGAGAAAGAGCTGATACAGACCATTTTGATTATTTTGTAATGCCCAGTCTCACTTTTGAAATATGACGAATCTCTCTATCCAAAAGGCATCAATCCTTAACCTTTGCAAATAAATAAGGATCATTGCAATAAGAAAACTGTTCAAATGTTAGTGTGGATTGAAATCACGTAAAAGGTAATTTATTTAAATAAGTTATATGCAATTAAGCCTGTTATACAAGTTTTATGTAATGTTAAATAAAATATTATTTCACCATAACCTCTACAATATAATATGACGTGTTTAACATTTTAATGAACCGAACTTCCTAGTTGACATGTAAATTATAATATTAATTAACGATTAATTAAATATACACAAGTGTAACAGACGTCCTTCAGACTTAGCGCGTGTTGAAAGTACTTAAATTAAATGTTATTGTATTCGTACCAACTGATATAACTTGGCGAAAATTCTTTGTTGGAAATGTTGTAATTTTGTTATATAAATAAATGTAAATAATACTAATGAAACTAGAATTGTTTATCGTTCATCATCATCAGCCTATCGCAGTCCACTGCTGGACATAGGCCTCTCCTATTGCACGGTACTTAGATCGATTTTGGGCTTCTCGCATCCAGCTCCAGCGCCAGCGCACTGCGAACAAGCAAGTTAAGTTTTTCTGAGAAACATCAATATTAATACATTTATTTTGACTGTAACATTTGATATTGTTGATATTGTAAAAATATTTGAATATTACATATTTTAAGTTAACTTTAAGTTTAACTTTCTTGACATTAAACAATGTAAAAAAAATTATTAAAAAATAAAACCGTGACAATTGTTAATACTTTATATTTACTATTATATACTACATATGTATAAATATAAAATAAATTAATAAATGTATATTCATTCAAATTAATTCAACAATAATTTCAAAGAGCTATAAACACGAAACAACTAAAATACGAGGATAGTTCCTAATTTAAACAGCTGAATATAATTTACATTAAATAAATAACAAACATCAAGAAACCAAAGTACATATAAAAGTTTTCAGACGACATAGTTATACCACAAACAACCTAGAGATTGGATTTATAAACTATATTGTACACGTGAAATTAGACAGATGTACATTCTTCTTTTTTCTTTTCTTTTCTTTTTTAAAGACAACTCCCGCATTAGGAATACATCCTGTGTCGCGGGGTACTTTACAAACATACATGAAACAAACACAAAGAACACCCAGACTCAGAACAACAATTCGTGGATCACACAAAGTGTCGTCCCGTGTGGGGTTTGAACCCACAACACTCGACGTAGTAGTTAGCAGCGTGGCGACCGCTTAAACCACTACGCCATCCGTGCAGTCAAACATTAGAATAGAATAAATTATTTTCGGTTCAGTAAAGTCATTGAAAAATTAAATGAATGGTTATAATAATTATGATCATTAATAATGATGACCTCACACACGGACCTCTCCTCAACTAGGCGGAGTCAGTACTATTGTAACAACACTACTGATGAACATACTTATAGTAGTAACATAATATAAACACATACATATTATATCTAATCTACACCTGGACATAGACCCAGATGTTCGTGTTCATCTCACAATTTATGATTTGTGTATGGTAGTAATCAAACCAAAGACCTCTGGTTCAGCAGTCAGGATCACTAGCATTTTATATACCACTTAGAACATAGTAAACTTACACACTAAGCGGAAACGTGACGAAATTAAATGCTAATAAAACTTTCTCGATATAGCTAAAAATTCGAAACAAAGTAAAACAAAATAAACACTACCACACCTTTAAATTTACTCAAACTAAAATGATAAATCTGTTACATTCAGTCTTTGTTAATAACAGCATATTAAAATACTTAGGTATTAAATTACATATATAATTGAACTGCACGTAATACAACTTCGAGTGGTGCACTGATAAGGGCGCCCGATTAAAATGAATCACAACGGTGCTGCTAATTGGGCCGGCCTGGCGGCTCATCCAATTAGCCGAGACTTAGAAACCAGTGCCCTCGGGCTGCCGGGACTGGGCCGTGCAGTCCCGTTCTAATCTACCCTGTCTGTTCCACTAATATGAACCTTCACAGCCGATGTACACACTACCTTACTTCTAATGAACAATTGGAGTTGTACTCGTATGTTAACTACATACGAAAACTACTTGGTATGTTAATAATTTGCAGCGTCAAGTTACAATGTTTATTCCTTAAGTATCCTATTTCTCGTAATTTTTCAACATAATTTCAATGTTCCTATTCTTAGTACGAGTGCTAAGCAATTTGAGTGTATATTTTGGAATGTTGATGAAAACTCCGTTGTTTAGGCGAGGCGCGGTAACGACTCCTTTCAAGACTTCGCGACGCCTTTAATGACATCGAAGACGGTGAGGCCGGGTTCGCGTGCGCAGTTCTTGTTATTTCTTTATTACAAAGGAGTGCCTCATTAATTTGGCAGCCCCTTAGGGTTGAGAGAGTCGCGAACCCTTGACCTCGTTCGCGAGAGCCCGCGACACTGAACCGTTCCCAAATTGAAAAGCTTACGCACCTAGCGATACATAATTAACGATCCTCATTACTACGTAACAGATATCTTGTCTGGTACTCTCGCCCGCTCCCCGTGCCGCTTCCGCCTCTTATTGTAGCTAACTGAAGTTTTTCTCGCGGGCTTTGCACGGACCGTGCACATCCGTATTCTCACAGCGCGGCAGTGGAATACGACATAAAAGTCAAACTTAGATCATTCCAGTCTCGAAATAATTCCTTGACTCATCGTTCCAACAAGACCGTTTCCATTATCCTTAATAGCGTCCGTAAGAGTTTTAAAATGGCTGCAATAGTAAAACTTGTTCCCGGGAAGTGTTCGCAGGACGCGCTAGGCACGAATCGGAAGAAGTTCGATACTGAATGTCTCATTTTATCGGATAAATTGGATAGCAAAGCAGAGTTACGGAAAAGTGTTAGTTCGTCGCGTTAGGGGTGAGACGCATAGAGTAGCGAGAAAGATAGCATGCAAAGAGGCTAATGAAAGCGGGTCTCGTCCGGCGGGCCACCGTGTCCGCGGACTCGTGCATTTTTAATGGTGCACGCTAGCATACTCACTATTAATATTTACCGAACACGTCAAGAGGGTGCACTTTACCTTTTAGTTAACTAGCGTCCGGCCGTTCATTAAATTTTCACGCGAGTCAGTTTCGGGCAAATTTTCCGCGGCGGTGACCGGGCCGAGCGCCGATAACGAGCGCGGACCACGCTCGTTACAGCCGCCTACCCGCCGCACCGCACCGCATCGAGCCGACAACCCGACCAAATTTTATTAATAATAAACTGTAACTGAAACGGCGGCTTTGAAGCAAGAGAGCGACTCGAACGCTCGTTATCGGGAATTATGCGAAATCCTTTGACGTATACACTTATTTCTTTAAAGTTTACTCAAGAATCTACTACGTTATTGTAACTTTACGAGTTCGTAGTATTATGTTAAGTTAAATATCGCTTTGAACGGTAAACTTGTCGGCAAATTGATTTCATAAGTCCCGATAAGTAGATGGTTATCGATACTTTTAATAATTATTATAGTACTGAACTGGTACTGTGTTTTTAATGAAATAGTAGCATCACCAGTATTAAAGGAACTCATTTATAATTATCATATGAAGTCGTCACTACTGTGTCGATTCGAGCAGACAGGCGCTGATGGAAGAAGAACGTTTATCAAATGAGTCTTGCTCGATGATTTATGTGCACTCAGCGAGCTTTAACGATGCAAGTCTTAAGTCTTACACGCTCATCTTTAACTAAAAAATAACTGCTGCAAAGAAACTAAATATGGACTAACAATTGAGAAGCAATTAATTGATTAATTTTTTTTCGCCGGCAAATCTGAGAACCTACAGTAAAATTACCCAAAAATATAGAGTTAAAGCAAAAATAATCTAAGTATGCAATCGGTGTAATATCACAGTTTTTAACCCATTATCGGTATGGTAACACTTTTCTGTTATGCTGTGTGCGCGGGCCGTGCGTGTCTGGCGTGCATGAATAAGCAATGAACGCCAGCGCACGCGACTCGACAAACGGTCCCAGCGCACGCGACATCCCCGCCCGCCCTACGAGACCGCCCACCTTAATTTATTACCGCCCGCCCTACCACTATCATTCTTATATCTTACCATATCTTTAGCGCTTCTCGTTATATTTATCGCTGTCAAATTATTTACTCTATGCCATGATAAACGTTCATTACTCAGTGTTAAAAAGGACACTTTACAAAAGAGGATCTAGAGGACTAACAAGATCTCTCGCAGTTTTTAACTTTAAGAGTTAATAATTTTGAACTTTTTATTAATTGAATTATTATTTTTAAACGGTATTACTATACTTTCACGTGTTTAATAACGAGTTGATGTTTTTTTAGACCGTAGAATCTTGTATCTGAATCACTGTTTCAAGCTAACTGCACTGGAGTAATATATAAGTAATAATGGAATGAATGTAATTGTAATCACACTCAGTCCGTCGTCCAAAATTACCGTGTTGAGTTGTCTGTACCGAGCTAAAGTGCATTTAAATTAGGTTACGAAACGATTCTTATAACAAACCCTAAAACTCAACTTCCTTACTCAAATCTTATAAAATAACTAATATGTATTGGCATTCGATCAACAACCCTTAATGGTCACACAACACAAAGGCTTACGTTATAAACCTTCCAAATCCAAAGCAATATAGTCCAACGTCGGCCAACTGTTTGCGTAAGGCTCGACGCGCCTACAACTATTAAATTATTTAGGCCCAGTCTTGCATTGTCTCGCGAAAGTCGTCCACCCGAGCCCCGATTGTCGTCCGAATCGGCCCAAACCAAACCAATATAAACAGTCGTTAGTGTTGTTACAATCGAATAGGAATGTCCCGATGTCCCGAATGTGTGAGTATCGCTTGCTAGGAATCGTTTTGTATTGAGTTAGTGCCCGCACGCGTCCCCGTGTTTGCTCTACTAGTTAATGGAATACCGATAGGCCATTGTGAACGGAGAGGCGCTTTCTATTCAATAGCCGATATTAAATTGAACGCATATGTACATACGCACAAGTTCCTTAACGGAATGTCTGTAATAACAGAAATTTGTTGTGTAAGCGTTGCTATTGTCTTATAAATAAGACGCACACAATCGTTTATAAATGTACAGACTGATGTTAATATATTTCAACTTGGTTTTAAGATATCTTTAGGGGGTCTGGATATTCTGAAAAATGTGCCTCCCTTTAATTTTATTTTTATTGATGTTAAATTACATTCAGTAGTAAAATGTTATTTTTCTGCTCAGAATTTGTGCTCTTCTGTGAAATTTAGTACTCTACACATAACCTAACATAAAGAAAACATGTTTTTTTGGAGAGTTCTTGTTTTCACATTTCGAGAAACGACTTCCATGAAAGTTATTTACAGGTTTTTAAAATATATGGTTATACTAATCTTCCCCGAAACATACACATACCTACTCTTTGAATATTTACACAAACACTAAAATACGGAAATGTGATTTATTTAAGTAGGGATAATTTAAGTTGATAATTTTCACAGTAGAACTTTGAGAAACATTTACCTAACATACGATTTGACGTATCTCACAGAAATGTGTGGAAGCTAAGGTCACGGACGCGAGTGAGGTCAGGTCGCGTGACCTCCCGACCCGGTTGCACAGTAATCACCGATATAAGATACTGCTTACGAATGGAAGGGTTTTATTAATCCAGGGCAGTGTATTAGGGTTGCGCGGTGTTGCTATTATAATATTAAAGGTCATAAAAAGTATAAAATGTAGAATATTTTTAATTACATAAAAATAATGCGGTAGTGGCGTACATGTTAAGGTGTCTAATTTGCGATCGAACCGTGGTAAGTAAGAAACGCACTTAATATATTGTGTCATGGCTGCTCTTAATAGAAAAAAAAACTTAGTTTTTATACAACGGTTCGACATTCGCTTGCTCCTCTGCTGTTGGTCTAACAAATACCAAAGATTGAGTCTTCAGACAAACCGGACACATAAATATTTACACCGGCATGAGCCGAACGAGACCGTTTGAGCTAAACCCTATGCCTGACTGTGCTCCTTTTTGAAACTGCACTTTGAACTTGCGAAATAATGATTAACTTCAGTGTCTATGGCTAAGCTAACACACTTTTTTTCAACTTCAAAACAAACTGGGGATTCAATTTTTAGCTGTAACTTTATATTGTACCTCTGTCGTGAAAAGTCCCTCTTCTAAAGACATTAAATATCTGCATAAGGCAGTCATCTGGATATCTTGCCTTTAAGTTTGATACATCGAATGTTTCACCTCTCCTGAGCTTTTAAGCATTTGTGTTTTTTTTAATATTTCTAGTTACAAACATATTTTAGTTATGTAGTTTCAAGACGTTCGTGTTCTATTAGAGTCGTGCATTTTAAAATCAAGGTGAAGGTTTGCTTTAAACGGGGATCGTCTCGCCTTGGTACCTACCCTGCCCTACAAGATTAAAACATTTACATTTTCATTGTACAGCCATAGAACATATTACTCACATTCTTGACGATAGAGCACTTTTTATTCTCCACAATAAAGTTTTACAAACCAATATTACCCGTTTATAAAAATCATTTTAAAGGTTATTAGTACTTCATTTTGTGTTAATGATACTTTAAACAGTTTATTTAAAAAATGAAATTTCATTTTTTTACAAATAACTATGCAATAATTGTCAACAACTGATAATAGTATCTCTTGTATACCCAGATTTGGAGTTCTACACCTACACCGGACAATGAAAATAACCTATTAGAACCTCAGTTCCCTTTTTGACAATTTTTTGACTTGAATACAGCCATTACGCCACCTTACCAAGGCTACGCGATAAAGCGAACGTACTATAAACATAAGAATTAAAAGTAAATGTAATGTATTAAGAGTGAAACTAGTTTCCGTTCTAAAATAACATAACAAAATGATCAGACGGGACACTCGGTGGCAAGTGTCTACTAGGCACGGGACAAAAATCACAGTGAACTCTAAAAGACCGGTGATTTATCATTCGATTTTTTCGTATATAGGTTAGGGTTACTACTTACTCATCCGTTGTTGCCAATAAGCTGTTTTCAGACGATGCATAAAGACGACCTATTTCGCAAATTTAACAGTAAATCTAGTAATTATTTTATTATGTATAGCTTCATTCCCTACATAAAAATTAAAAAATACTAGAGTTACTGTTAAATAGCGTCTAACCTACCTACCTAGCAACCCTAACCTATATACGCAAAAATCGAATGATAAAAACAGTTCACTGTGATTTTGTCCCATGTCTAGTGTCTACCGCTGCTTATGAACACCTACAACTAGCTCAAGAGTCACTCTTGAGGTCCTCACACCGCCCCGTAGGGGACGTGTGGATGCTGTTTCGGGGCGGTAAACCCCTGTCAGCGGTATCTACCCCTACCCCTTGATAGGGGTACGAGTAAGTCATGGGCTTGTTTGTTGAGATTCAGTGACTGTTTTGGAGGGGTTGCTTCAGTCTTGACGACGCCTCGGCGGTCGATCCCCAGCCAGGTGAGACCCCAGATCGCACTTGGGGAGATCAAGAGTCACAAGTGCGTTGCCGCCTTTTAACCCCCATCCCACAGATTAGAAGGGAGGGATTTTCGGACTTGGTCACTTCACTTGGTTGTCTATGAAATCGAGCCGGCCCATTTATCGAAGCAAGACTGTCGTATACGTTTTAAGTATTTAGTAAATTTTATCTTCTATACCGCTTCGAACCCTTCCATACCTCAATTGTAAATGTAAGTTCAGTTAATCAGTGTCGTCACTGAGAAATAAACGAAGATATTGTAATGGTTTATTTTTACCTAAGTTATTATTAGTAATACCTAGCAGAGTAATATGTTATGTTAGAAAATAGTGCAATCTTGGTTGTAATATCGATGTCGGAGCAAAGGTTGAAGAGGTCGCGTCGTGCCCTCACACTGACCTCGGCGAATTGCACTTTCGTGCATGTACATCTGATACCTAAACATAAAAAATTCAAGTATTACGATCCGCTTTACAAGATATTACGTTATTTTTTCTATTTTTGCTTAAATCTTTATTTCACAGGAAGACCCAGTAAAAATTATTGAGGGAAAACTTGTAAAAAAAAAACTGAAAAACGTGTGATCCTGAGATAAATATGGGGGCCATAAACGATCAATATTAATAAAAAAAATTACAAATACACGACATCTTCACTGACGAAAAACAGTTAAATAAGAATTCTTTTTTCACTGGAGTTGTTATATTTGAGTAACGAACTATAAAAATTAAATCATTAATACACCTTCACAAATACTATGCATGTTTATTTACGGCATTCCTAATTCATAATCCGACAGTGATAAATTAGACAGCTCCGTCCGCCCGTAATTAGGTACGCAATTATCGCGGGCGTTTGAATTCATTACCGCTAAAAGTACCACGAGCTGAACGTGATTTATTGCCCACTCATACTGTCTGTATACTAATTAATATCACGTTACTATCGCACCCCATCGCAACAACATACCGAACGATTTTTAACACGAACGCTACAAATAATTAATCAGTTCGCAAGATCCTCATATTGCTCCCTCCGTTCTATTATTAGGCAATAAGCGTGTTTTCCGCGACCACCGGGCGAACGTAATTGGAAACCCTATACGGCTATTTAATTTACCTAGCCGCCTGAGCCGCACCACCTGGCTCGATGGCGAAACAATTGCCGAGCGCCTAATTATATTTTAATCGCAACATGCCCCCCACCCTACGCCGAGCGCTGGAGCGCGGGGGTTGGGTCACAACACCACTAATTCATTTGTGCGGTGAAGCTCTGCCAGTGCGCCTCCAGACCCTGTTTATTCTCATAGGAGAGTTTAGGTCTCCTAAAGCAATACCGACGCTTAAACATATTACCCATAGCGTTTGCGTAAAGGGTTTAATTATGCACTTTAAGTTCTTGGCCACAATGGCGTCAAGTTAATTAAGTTTTGCTTGTTTAAAGACTTGACGTGAGTGGATTGTTGCCTGCAAATAAATTTAATGTATGTATGAAATTTTGCCTTTTTTGATCGTGTTCGTGTAGTGGATGTTTGAGCTTTGTACAAGAACTCGGGCAGAGTTGATAAAGTGCAATAAATATTAAAGTTAGGTACAATATCATTGTTAGATTGTTAGAACACTCTGTATAGGCGAGCAGCTGGTGCCTCCAACTATGCCAATTGTGTAGAGGCTTTTGTGAGGCATATTAACTATGAAACTAGTATAACAATACACGAGGATCGAACGCTTAAATGTATAAATCAATTTGTGTTTTAATGTCGCAGGAGAAATTCATTAATTAATATGTTGAGACTCTTGTTAATGATCACATATCTGCTTTTATTATTATTATCTTTATTGAAGACATAGCAAGCGACGAAACATTACTGTTCTATTTCGTTTGACTTCGTGGGGACTTGTTTTAGAAGCCTGTTCAATTCAACACAAAATACCTTCGTAACGAAACTTAACATCATTAAATTATTTCTTTAAAAAATTACAAAAATTGGATCTCCGTGACATTAAATGGCCCTGAATTAAAAAAAACCGTAAGATTTTATACACAATCGTGTTTTTTCTATTTTAAAATTATTATAAGTTGTACGAGTAGCTACTACAAGTTTCTTGTACGCCAGTGACCGGGTCGGCGGACGCCTCGTGCATTGTATCGGCAATCAATTTCGCACCGATATGTTTGAAAAATGGACGTGAACGGCGCCTGCACCGGCTCCGTGATATATAGCCACTAAATGCTTTACTTACAATTACTTTAAGATATATGGGCAGACGTGAGAAACTAAACGCAACGTTTACACGAGGAGAAAACTTACCAGCTGTACAAAAATGTGTTCTCTATAAAAATTTAGATATAAATTGTCACTTTGGACGTGTGATGCGATTTAGCGCCGACCTGCTCCTGCGCCCAATCTGCATTAGCATGAAAGCCTCCTTGAAGTGGCGCGGAGTGGCGTGGGGCGGAGGCCGCCGGCTATGCTGCGCATTGGCCATTAGCGTGATTAGGAAACACCCCCTCCACCTTCTACGAATTCTTTAGGCTCTCATCTCATAATAGTACATATTTCATTATTTATGTAAGCGATGTTTTTACTCCAATCTCTCTAGGAGATTACACGCACAATCAACCTAATTGTAATCCAAAGTGATGTTTTGAGCAATTGTTTTAAATTCCAACTCAAATTGTTACAGATGATGGCGTGTTCTTACCTGAGTACTACAGGCATGTCGTCGGAGGCGTCGGGAGCTGCTTGCTGGACACCACCCGCAATGGGGTGTATGGCTCCAGAAATGGAGGGGCCATCGAGCATGCAGCCACCGATGTATCTTCGTCCGCAAACTGTTCCATTGAGCTTGCCACCCGCGCCGTTGACGCTGTGTCCTGGTCCCTCGCAAGAGCCCGCTCTGGACCTTTCAACGTCTACAGCTCTCAAGTCCCGTCTACCGTCTCCGCCAAGTGACGACGAGGCAGAGTGACAAGTGTTGTGCCACAGACAATTATTGAACTTGCGACTCCGGCAAAATTATTACTGACTAAACAACGTTTATCTATCAGTAACAATTTTACTCTGTCATTGAACTGTTAAGTTATACTTTAGTACCTATTACATATTTAATTTCGGTTGTGAAAATGGCAATTTATGTAACTTAACTTGCTATATGTAAATTTCCATTACTGGTACTTAAGAGTTGAAAAGAGATGTGTTAAACACAAGCGTGTTGTTTCTATTGTAAAGTGATAATGAATAGTGGATGTGGAAAATAAGCATATCGTACTATTATTAAAATATATTGTTTTAAGCTGTTGACAGGGCTGTACCCGCGTTGCGCAATTTCATCTAACAATGCGGGTACTTGAACGTTTGATGGGAAAACACGAAATTCTTCATTGTTTTTCCTTAATATATCGAACAAAATAAAACGAGACTGCGTAATTAATGGATTATATGTTTATACGCAGTTTGAATAAAAATAGTAACCAATTATAATAGTGGAATGGTTTCAAAAGTTTTTATTTAAATGGATTGGACTAATTATTATATGTAAACGTTATTACATTTTTATTTATCTTAAGTGTTACAAGAAGCTAATATGAACTTGTTAGGTTTAAAATTAAGATTGTATATCAGGGCTCACGTTGCTCAACTTCTTTTTGCAAAACGATGTACACTTCGATAATATTACGCTACATCCTTTTATAAACATACACGACTAAACTATTTTGTAAGATTTACGTTTGGTTTGTGTGATCCAGGTGATGTTTAATAGATCTTGTAACACTGAGTCATTATCAGCACAATTATGAAAAATAAAACCATTGTCGAATCTTGCCAGTGTACGATTTTACTTTAATTTTAAGTACCGCTAGGCAACGCAACATGTTTTATGAGCACGCGTCTCTGTGATGGCAAACTTGCTGTGTAAATATTTCTCTAACTTTTGTTATTTCATTGTAAACGAGTTTTAAATCAAATCACTCGTTATATTATACATTTATATTGTACATATTAGCATAAATAGTTGTAAGTAGACACATCTTGTACCTAACAGTATGGGCGCAAAACATTTTAGCAATAATTTTGATGCCAACATCTTCGAAGTTTAAATTCAACTTTCTATCGGTCTCTGTATATATTGATCTATGTTTACCACTTGTTCGATCAATTTTAAATATATACAGTTGTATATAAGTAACCTTAAACGCTAACATTCCTTTATATGTGTATATTAGTAAGCCACGTAGTTGTACAATAGGGTTGTCATATAACTTTAATTGAATGGGTTCTTGTCTAGATACCGCCTTGTTTTGTTAAGACGTCAACAAGAACGGCTCCAAATTAATAGGCATTTGTAGATTAGGTATTGTATTACTCTCATGGCCGACCGCACTATATAAGTGTATACAATTGATTGCGGCTAGGACCTTTTATGATTTATTAGTCATCCTTATACGAAATGAAAGTTTGAAAAAAACAGAATTTGACAAGGCTTTCAAGGCCTAACTGCTCTGGAATTATAGATATCTATACTAATATGAACCAAAAAGAACATATTAACAAATAACATCAGAACTTTTGACGCAGACGGGTCTACTTTGACGCTGGTAGCCCGACATTCACGTGCATATTAGCAATGAAATATCACTTAGTTCAATCACCTAAGCAGTGTACAAAAACAAAGCTTGTTGGCGATCAGGTTTTATCTGCAACATCATCAACAGCCTTTAATAGTCCACTGCTGGACACGGGCCTCTTCTCAGAAAGGAGGTTTCACATCCATCTATCTGTCACATAACATTGAAATTACGAACCGCTCTGCAAAGGCACAACCCTACATTAACATTATCGTGTCAGAGACTGGTGGTGTAGGGACATATACGGACTGTATTGATTACATTTCTTTAAAAATACTGCGTTTAATAAGATATCGAAAGTTAGGTAGATTAAAAAGAGATCGTTTTTTTAACTTCATATTTTCATCTAACAATAAAATGTTGTTAGATGTGAAGCAAGAATATGGCAACTCTATGTATATACTACTCCATATAGATATCAATTCAATAGTGACGTCAATGTTTCTGAAGACGCTTCTAATGAATGTATCTCATAAAAATATTTGATAGTAAATTTACTTCATTTTCCTTTTTTGATTCATTAGGTATTTAATGAATAAGCTTAGATATCGTAAAATTAAAAATGACCGGCATACAATATAATGTTAGCGTTTAGTGAATCTTGCCATCTAAAGATATGTTTAATTTATGGAAAACGGCACAGGCTGGCGGTTTCATCTGTTTATAGTTAAGAAATATACCAACTTATATGATTACGAGATGAAACCTTAAGTTTGTGGCAGTTTCAGAACGACAGTTATGGTGTTACCAGTACACAAAGAAAGAACATACATACCTAGCCTAAGAGAGCCGGTGACAGGAGGAGAAAATAAAATTTTTGTAAATTACTTATTTTGTTTTATTCCTGACTTTACATTCAAACAACTATATATTAGTATCTACATTCAAGAACTTTTCTCGGTGTCAGACGAATACATAAATATACATATAGTAAGTATACAGCAATTATTCAAAAAATCCTTTACTAAATGCTTAGAACGTGAATAATGTGTTGGCATACAACGACCTGCGTGTCCAGTATAATAATGCATTCAGGGTGCTTTTGGGGTCGCCATGGCGATGTAGCGCGTCAGTCATGTTCGCAGAGGCACAGGTCGATGGTTTCTCCGCTATAATGCGGAAACGTTGCGCCTCCATGCTGGTGCGTTTGCGCTCCTCCTCCAACCGCATCCTGAATGTTTTTTCAGATAGATGGGACTCTTCCTTTATTCGGAGGTGGATTTCCATTCACGTAAAATAAAAAAAATTATAATAAACGAATAAATATAATTCAATACTAACACTAGTTTTTAAAACACATTGTTACTAACACTATATGGATGTAATAGTCCGAAATAAATAATTTGAATAATACTAAAGGCCTGAAGAGTTTATACCTAGACCGATATTAAAAACTTGATAAAGAACAATATTTCTTTTAACTTTATTAAATTAGTATGAGTATATGATATATTTATCCTAATTCAATAAAGTACGAATCGTTAAATTACGACTAGAATGTCTTTGCCATCCTTCAAAATTTTAAAAAGACAATTTAAAAATAATATTCCTTTCACACCACTTTTGTGCGGAACTCCCCTCGGACCCCACCCATCAGTGGGTGATTATGTCGGACTCGAACCGACCAAAAACCGCACGCCGTGTCCAGGTACCAGTAGCCGGGAAACCAGGTATACCCTAGAAAGGAAAGCCCTAGTAACCCGACGTACCTCAGGCCATCTACGGCTTATAGATGACCTCCTGTGTGGGAACCCGGATGTTCCCTTCCTGCTCAGAAGGGCGCGCGCCCTCCGTAGCGCGTCGCGCCATTACCCACCTCGGCCTGCTTCTGCTAGAGTGACAGATGGCCTCACCTGTCACCCTCAGACCTGCGCCTATGGAGGACGGAGGTCTCACTCGCAAGCATAACCTGCTCGCAGAAGGAGACGGCGCAGTCTCACGCCGCAACATGGCCGCAATCATGTTACCGAGCGAGAGATCTCCCACCCCGATGGCCGCCACGAGGTCACGCCTCTGCTCTTCCCACGCCGGGCATTCTGCTAGAGTGTAGAGCTCCGTGTCCACGGTCCGGCCATCACAGTGGTGGCACCCAGGCGTTGGCTAATTGCGGATCAGACACAGGTGATCCCCGAAGCATCCTTTCCCAGTGATCACCTGCGTCAACCGGTATGAAAGGGTCCCGTGATGCCTCTCGAACCAATCCTCCATTATACCGCCGCGATAAAAGCGTGCCCAAGTCGTTCCTTCCACTCCTCCGCGAGGCCCTGGCGGAGCTGGGATTTCTGATCCTCGATTTCTCGAGACTCAGGACTCCGTCCCAGCTCCCGCGCTTTACACCACTGACCTCTATTTTACAAGTAATATTTTAAGATTATATGTGTAGGACACTGACCTCTATTACTTGTAAAATAGAGGTCAGTGTCCTACACATATATAGTCGCGTACACTCGTATATACAAGGTATACAAATGGAACAAACACGTATATTACATACATAACGAGATGTATGTATGTATTTGTTCTATGTGCCATTACAATTAGCAGTGCTTGTGAACTGCTATATAATATAATATATTTTTTATTTTATGCATACAATATACATAGTTTCTTTAAGCCTTATTTAAAAATATTTTACGAGTATGAATAATGCTACTGTTGTAATTTACTTGTTATAAGAACTTGGGTCACCAGCCGGCCGGAACACGGCTACCTGATCCCAATTTAGCAACAGTATGCGCTAAGCTTACCAGTAGGTATGGAATAAAATTACAACCACATGTGAAAAATTATACGATTTATAAATCATATCATCACACCTGTGACTGATTTGTAGAACCGCTGCTACTTAATCATTATTACGCTAGCGCAAGACTCGCGAAAGGTCTAAATCTAAAGAAAAATGAAAAGAAACTTTTTCTTTGATAAAAATAACTTTGACTGAATTTTAATGCTATTTATCTTTGTCTGTGACGAAATCACAATCACATGTAAAATTGCTGTGACTAAAAACAATTATCTCATCAAATGTCTACTTACCAGACTCCTGCTAAAACACACTTATATTTACATACATTCTTCATCATGACAGCCTTTAATAGTCCACTGCTGGACATAGACCTCTCTTTAGAAAGTAGATTTTGGCTTACTATAACACATTGGCCAGACGGGTTGTTATAGGGTTTGTGTCAACTTTTCCTTCTCTTTGCAGTGCTGTTGTCCTGCGTAATTAGTTAAGGAATCGGCTCGTACGACACCATCGGGATGAATAATAGGGGTGGGTGACACTCCGTATTCTTATTCCGTCACCACACCAAAATTATCTTCTACATTTATGACGATGATG